TTTTTTACATTTATCTTCTACTTTTTGGATATGAACTGACCATGTTATTCTCTCATCAAACCATATTCCTAGAAATTTAAATTGTTTCATACGCTCAAGAACTTTTCCGTATAATTTAATTTCAACATTGTTAATTACCTTTTTCCTTGTGAAAATTACTATTTTAGTTTTCTCAACAGAGAATTTAAATCCCCACGTATGTTACCAATTTTTCACCTTCCTAATTTCTGTCTGTATCTTCTTTGCTATAATTCTATATTTTTCCCTTTTTTCCATAAAGCCCCATCATCTGCAAATAACGACCTTCCCATCCCCTCTTCTATATCATTAAACATATCATTTATTAGCAAAGAAAATAATAATTGACTGACTATACTTCCTTGAGGTGTACTGTTTTCTATTACATATTTGTTTCAATATTGTTGACCTATTTTTACCTGTATTTTTCTTTCTGATGAAACCTCCAGTGATTACTACTTTTGTCACTTTGTTTTCTCCAATGATTTTCTTCTCTTTCAGTCTTTTTACAGATATTTTCGATACTCATTACTTTATTTTTCTGCTCCTCGGTTTTAACAATAATCAACAAGTTTCCATCTCTGAGTGTTTTTGCAAAGTTTACCTCTCCTATTTTCTTTTTAAATTCTCTTGATAATGTTATTGGACTTAATTGTACATTATCTTCTTCTGCTTCGAATCTTCGAATTATTTTAAATTCTTCTCTCAATCTTTTTACAAGCTCCTCCATTTTCCTCTTCCGAGCTAACTTCCTCTAACGAGCGTTTTGAGTTTCCAGCCCAGCTTTTCTCTTCTCCCTTTTTTCCTCCTCGTCCTCTTCCATTTACCTGAGTCCACTCATTTACATCCATTTTATCTTCGTCATCTACCTGAGACGCCATCCAGTCCAGTCACACACCAGCTTATGCTCACCGCCAAATTTCAAAATTTTTGTTATGATTCATCCTGCACCGCTTCCTCCTTCCGTCCTCCACGTTGCGCCCTGATCCTCCCTTCCTGTGCAAATGATGTACAGTAACTACTAAATTAAATCCCTTACTCACTGAAAACAATAAATGAAAACACAGATAATGTTATGCAACATAACACTTACATTAAAACAAAACAAAACAAAAATAAATGAATAAGAACTTGTAGATTTACTGAACCACCCTAAAATTACAGGACTTATTCCAAACATTAAAGACTAAAATTACAAGACTTTGGCAAGTGATCTCACTAAGTGTGACTTATTTCTGAATGTTTCATTAAACTTTTAAAGGGCCTATATTATGTGTTTCTCAGGCATATATTTAAATACTATACCATAATAAAGTATCTTTGTCACCTTTAACTGTTGTTAAAATGCTGTTTTTATGTTTAAATAGAAAAATAAACTTATCTTCTCATCACTTCCTCTTCTAACGTCTTGAAATTGGCCTCTGTCTCTTTAAGAACCGCCTTCCGTTTCTGTCCCGCCCATTTCAACGCATGCGCGGGGAGGGTTCACGCACTCGTTATGATGCACTTGGCATCTGAAAATACATTTCCTCAGAGGTATTTTCAATCTGAAAAGAACTGAGTGAGAAGTAGTGTTAGGAGCTCAGCAGACAGTTTCATTTTCAGTTTCACCCGTTGTTTGCTTTGTTACTGCCGAGAGCCTGCAGGAGTCATGGGCGGTATGTGTGTGTG